GCTCATTTCTGTTCAGATTGTTACTTAAAATTGTATAATTTTATTGAAGTAGGTAACAGAAATAATGATCCAGCTTACTATGTTAAACAACTCAAATGTTAAGCTATGCAAATCTGTTGAAAATTTGGATTACAAATTACAAGTTCTTATGAAGTCCGATGGAAGGATTAGAAGTCAGACAGTGCCATTACCTGCCTTGCCCTCTGCCTTCATTGATATCATGCCCGTAAAGTGTATTGAAGAACTGGATGTCGTAGAAAAGTATCTGTCTGAGCTTAAGAGGACGCCACACCGAAAGTGAAACGTATACAACGACCGAGAGAACGCGCTGTTAGGTGTTTTCGCGATGCGCAAGCACGCGACGTTTAAGCCACACCCACTACTCGTAGTCGGCTGCCGGCCGACGATTGTGGGCATTCAGGAGCGACGGTTATTATTTTCTCRACTTTCGTCCGTTGCGGGTCGAGTAAATATACAGTGCATACACGTTACACGTATATTATGCTGCATTGTCATTTTAAATATTCACGCGTACTTATACGCGGCTTGTATTTATTGCATTATTAAATACTTGCTTCATAAAAAAATTTACTGTATTGTATACATTTTTTTTTTTTTTAAATGTATTTAATACAGTAAATAATATCTAATATATAACTGTAACCTAAATTAATATTACCTAAATATCTAAATATTATTTTTAATTTTTATTAATTAGATAATTGAATATAATATTAATTATTAGATATTTTACGTTATACCGCTACCACATAGGTATATTTTTTAAATTACCTACATTTTTTGAGTATTTCTGAAAATTATATATTTTTCAAACATCAATCATCTATTATTTATAAGTTTCTACCTATCTTACTTACAATAATTTGAAACCTACGATTTAATAATAACTAATAAGTAATAACAAAGATAATATTATGAATTACGCGTGTTGTTGCCGCGTCAACGCAAAACCAATATTAGTGCGTTTATCATTAATATACATAACAACACGGCGGCGACTTGTCTGTCTTCCTCTCCCTCTTCTTCGTCCCCAACCTTCCTGTCCATACACCACTCCGTCGTTAATTGTTTTAATTATTATCATTGTTTTTTTTTTATTTATTCTCTTTGTGTTATACGCTATCAATGTACAATTATTGTTCGGCTCTTTCCGTATCAATTATGATAATTATTATTATCGTTGTTAGATCGTCCATCGCTTAAATTTTGTAATATATCATCGTATGTTTTTGTCGCAAGTTAAATTGTATTAGGTCAATGCGACTGAAATAGTATATTAKTATAATGTTTCCTTGTGTGTCATTGTGACAGAATTTTATATATTATAGTTTTTGTCGCAATTTAAATTGTATTAGGTCAATGCGACTGAAATAGTGTATTATTATAACGTTTCCTTGTGTGTCATTGTGACAG